ATAAATTTTTAATATCTTAACTTTCTCTAAGCTACTCTATTTTGAGTTAATTTTGTTCTTTTCTAACTTTAGATGCTTTTTCTATAATATTTAGCCATTTTTCTACTAGACACATTTATCACATTTATAAATATTGCTTTAATTTTAATCCGTATCTTATTAAGCATTTTCACTTCTAGTTTCACTTCCTTCATTTCAAAAAAAATATAACATTTCTTAATCATTTCCTTCCTAGGCAAGTGCCAATTTGAATTTCCTTCTTAGTGAATCAAAGTTTTCATTTTGGAAAGTGATTCTTTTTATCCCTAGAGATATTTCTTCCTTAATGTTTTTTTCAGGTATTAACAGATATGTTTCCTTATTTTGTGTAGTCATTTTACTTTTAAACTTTCATATTTTACACCGTAGGTATAGCCTTTTTGATATCATATAATTGTTTTCATTTTTAAGCAGGTAACAATTTGCTTTAATTAAATAGCTCACTTATATTTAATGTAATTGCTGACATATTGTTACATTTATTATCTGTTTTCTATTACTAACAACAGAGTGTCACAGACTGAATAAAGAAAATAGGTTTACCCAATCTCCAGCGTTGAAGGGCTGTGCCTGCTGGTCTTCTTGCAGAGTCCTATATAATCAGGGCATCACATAGCCAGGGACAGCGTGACAGAAAGAAACAATTTGTTATATTCTCTCCCTCTTCATATAAAATCCCCAATAAATAATCGTGAAGGCTCTATACTGAGGACCTTTATCTAATCCTAATCACCTCCCAAAGGCCTCAACTCTAACAACTACAGTCAGAGTCAGTCTTAGTATTTCACAGCAGGGGTTTAAACTTGAGTGAGTTTTAGAGAAAACAAACCATTATCAAATCATAGTATCTACTTTTTTTTTGCAATTTCATGACCTGTTTTTTTCTGTTTTATGATGATTACATAACAGTGAAAAAAAAAGGAGGCAAAACTTGTAGCAAGGATGGGCTCAGATAAAGAACTGAGAGGGGCCACTGGCTCCCAAACCAGAGGAGCTCTTTTACAAAGTAAGAGGTTTATATGGGATAGCTAGGGTGGCAGAGAAAGAAGCTGGAAACTATTCTGGGATCAGGTCCTCTATCTCAGTCCGTGGTTACAGTTCCATTTCATGTTTGGATAAAGTTTATTATTCTCCTGGAGCTGAGGGCCTCCTGGTCAGGAATAACTGGGTCTATAAATTGGACGTAGAGCAGGCCAGATAATTAAGTATTACTGTTACAGGGATAGTAGAATGTGGGGAAAGGTTGGAATTCATACAGATTTTCCAAATTACTCTTTCCTCTTCTACTTTTTTACCCCTCAGATGTTATCATTCATTTTAGTATAAAAGTCATTTTTAAGTGAGTAAGCCATACTTAAGTTTAAAATTAGTCAGTCTTTATTCTCTTAGACCATTCAGACTGCGGGCACTTATTTCAACCACATGTGCCATTCTAATCTCTCATTTTTAAACTCTGCAAGATATCATTACTGTTCCAAAAGGTAAATGTCCTTTAGATTAGGCAATATTTACAACCTTCTTCCCACTACATAATACATTCTTTTCTTTAGTCAGAATCTGCAGGGAGCAATCTTTTTTGGTGTCAGAAACTTTTTCTACCATCATTTTTGAACTATATACACTGGGTACAGAATTTTAAATTGGAAGTTAATTTTCATTAGAGATAGTCATTTAACTGGTTCCTGACTTCCATCACTACTGTTGAGAAGTCAGCTGGAGGTCTAGCTGTGAGGAAGATTCATCATGCAATGGTGGTGACTTCAGTCTGTTGCAACAGCAGTTTTTAGTACTAAGTCTGGTGAGACAACATTGACACACATATTACATGATGTCCACTTAGTACTCATAGACAAGCAGCAAGACACAACAGCAGTTGGTTCAGGAAATCTGCCCAGAACAGAAATCTTGTCTACATACTCCTTACCTGCACTGCAGCACAAGGCCCATGGAAGGCTGTCCTCCCTGAGTTTTATATTGAGGGTGATCTTATATGTTGAGTTATAATTTTGAAGGTAGTATTGGTAAGCTTTCCTGTTGCTAGGACACAATATCCAAACCCAGAATTTAAAGGAGAGGTTTCAACGGCTCTTGGTTTTTTCAGGCCATGGTTGGCTGGCTCTAGGGAGGAACATTATGGGGAAGGGCAATTTAAAGAACTGGTTTAAAATGGCTCATAATGTTAGGGGATTCAGACCATGCTGGGCTGGTTACAAGGAAGAAACATCATGGCAGAAGGGCATGATGAAACAAAGCTACATAGTACATTGTCACCAGGAGTGCAGAGCACTGAAATGGCAATAGAGAGAAAAGGACTCAAGGACCTGAAACTGTGCCTGAGGTCATGCCTTCATGACTCATTCACTCAGACATGCTAGGAGGTGTGCTTTAGTAATCCCCTGGTGCCTTTAAACAATCAAGTTGACAATCCAATTGTTACAAAGGACATCATATTCTAAGAGGGACAGGATTTTCCATTACCCGTATATTCCCGGAACATTTTTCTGAGAATGATAGTGGAGAAAAAGGGAACAGCTGACTTGCCAGTTCCATTCAGGGACCTGTCTTGCTCTAACTGATGTCTCTGCAAGGTTGTCTGGAACTTCTGATTTGGCTAATTTAAGAAATTGCATCTTTGGTGTTCTACTAAGATTATGTACATCAAAGTAAGGACTTCATACCTATCCTGTAGATTGTTTACTTGAAAAACTCTCAGTACTTATGTCTTCAAATATTGCTTCTATCCCACAATCCACTTGAAACTATTAGACACACATTACTATTTTTGCCTTTTCTTGCGCTCCCATGTTTTTTGGTCTATCTTATTTTCTGTTGAATTTGTCCATTCAGGTTTTTGTTTGTTTTGTGTTGTTTTAGCTATTATGTTCATTTTAAAAAGCTCTATTTCATTCTTTCTCAAGTAGACTAGTCAGTTTTATAATGTTTTGATTTCTATCAACATTATAAGCAACTCTTATTCTAACACATGAGTTTTGTGTTATACATGTGCTAATTTTAGGTATCTGAGTTTTCTGGTGGTCTGCTTTTGCTGCCTTAGGATTTCTAAGCACAATCAAAATGAAATCTGAAACTCACCCTCAGAAAAAAAACCTGCACCAATTTCACTTAGCAATGTAGCCTTTTAATTACTTAATCTGTTAGACTATTTTCAGGTCCTATATACATCTAAAAATGCTTTTTTAAAAAAATTCTACTTAAGTTTTACTTTTCAGTAGGAGACCAGGCAGGCATTACTCAAAAGGAAATCTGACGTTTTGTAAAAACTCTATATATTACATAGCATCTTTTTCTATCAATGTCAGAAATTTCCTGTTATTAAAAAGTTTTTGCTAATCCAATTTCAAATGAGCCCACAACATGTGTCTGTCCTTAGGTGACAGCTGGCTGGTGTAGGGCAGCTCCAGCTGAGCAGTTCACTGTATTTCACATGGTCTGCTCCTCTGCTGGGCCAGTGCAGATTTGTTTACACAGCAGCTGGGCAGGTTTCCAGCAGTGCCAGTGGAACTGTGCCAGGCTCTGAGCCCTAGACCCTAACTCTGCATAATACCATTACACCATTCTTTTTAAGGAAATAAACTCATAAGTCCAGCCCAAATTTGAAAAGCTGGAAAATGGATTCTAGGAGGAACGATAAAGTCACCTTGCAAAGAGAATGGTAGAGAACTATGGCCATTGTGCCAACTGTTACGTAATGTTGCTAATAAGGAGCCCTCAAGGAGAACAGAAAAATCTAAGGTGAACTACAGAATTCTAAACTGGCTAACTGGGACAGATGTTCACTCACTGAGAAGGAAAGAAAAGTTTAATTTTTTTTATGAGTTGGAAATGCTAAAAGAAATTTCAAACACATATCTGAAATTCAGAAATAAGATTTAGGTTAGTGTTACAGATTTAAGAATCTAATTAATATTTGAAACAATGGTTAAACAGGTGATAATCTTGAGCACAAAACCCTGGTGACAAGCAAGAAGATATTGCTATGTTCAAATCTCATAAGGCAACACAAAACTCTTACACTGACTGATATCCCATTGACTGTGGCAAATGAACGGCTGGTTATCTTAGCAGAGGCAATGGCAAGTGGGAAAAGAAAAGAAGGTGATGCTGTAGAATAGATGGATGAAATGAATGATTATAGAAACTAAAGAAGATTCAGATAAAAATGAAGACAGTAGAGAAAGGACACTAAACATAGCAAGTGGCCAAAAGACTACTAAAGACTACTCCCTGACACTCCCCAAGTCAGCAGTCAGCCTTTCTCAGTTTACACACTCCTAGGGTCCCAGTATTTTTACACTACATCTAGACAAAAGCTGACAGCAAACAACTTAGTTTTGTTTATGTCTGAAAAACTGTGTCAGGCTGGGGATATGGCTCACTGATAGAGTGCTTGTGTAACATGCACAAGGCTCTGAGTTCAACCTCCAGTATCACACACACACACACACACACACACACATACACAAAATGTGTTGGACACTATCCAATTTCTCAAACTTTGTAATATTATTGAAGATAGTCACTTTCATTTTCTATTACTAATCTCAGCAATCTCTAACGTCCAGTTTCATGGATATAAAGCAGCAATCTAAAGGTCAAAGTGTGAAATACTTTGCATTATTTGTACGGTGTCTAACAAATGTAGCTGTGATTTCTTCAAAAATTTAAAACATCCTGCAATATACTTATAAGTTCTATGGTACCCCAGGGCACCTCAATTCATAATGTGGGAACTATAAACCTATCACTGCTTTATTTTTCTCCATGACTCCATGTATAATATTCATGTGTTATATTTCCTTCTTTACAACACGAGTTCCATGCAGATAGACATCTTGTCTTTGATCGCTGTTATATATATCATCCCATTCCTAGAATGATATCCAACATTTGCAGGTTTTAAAATATGCATTTGATTTTAAATTCATAAACCAGGTCAAGTGTACATAAAAGCTATGTGTCTTTAATCTCTCCAACTATTAGGTAAAAAGTCAATTTCTCAAATTAATTACAAATAATTTAAAGGCTCATTTTTATAAACACTGCATAAAGATTATACTTTGTATAATGTGTAATACAAATGATAGTATAGCACTCAATCTTAGTGTTATACTTTCACTGTAACTCAACAATGATTCAGAGAAGAAACAATTCAGAATAATAATCACATATAATTTAAGTAAAATGATAAAACTTTCAGAATCACAATCTATTTAATAAACTTGTGGGAGTACACATCTACTGTTACCATGATAAACTTAACTAATTAGCACTGAAGCAAATGCTTAAGTAAGAATGGAATTTAAAATAAACTAATATATAAAAATCATTCTCAGGATTGTCTACTTTACAGTCTTTCTTATTTAATCTGAAAACTAATTGCATTCAGCAAATATTATTATTCCAAAAATGCCATTAAGTTTTCCAACTGTCTACCTGACACATATATTTTATTCTTATCACCCAAAAGTAAAATACTTCACTAATCTAGAACAATAAAGTTTGGGCATTCTTAAAGTCACAATAAAAAATTTTAACAGTCAATGGCAGTCAAAGGTTCTAAATTTTATATAAATTTACATGTTTTTTATCATTTTATTTCCTAAAGTTTTGGTTTTGTAGATTCAGCGATACTAAATTGCTTGTTGGGTTTAGTAGCTTCTTGCATCAGCTCCTGTAACTGTCCAATTTGTTCATCACGAAAGTCATTAAGTTTTTCTTCTGAGAGGGAGGTGCCGAAACACACCTTTCCAGTTGAATTTTGTCTGTTTTCATTAACTTGTTGACTTAATGTTGCTGCATAAACCTAGTAAAAAGAGAAAGAAAAATGAAAGATACAAAAATTAAGATCTATGTTAATTAATTAAGAAGGACATGAATTTTAACTGAGTCACCTATTTTTTAACATCATTATATTTTCTCCATTTGGTTAAGAAGATACAAACAATAGTGTCATATATTTACTATTTAGTGAGGTTCAACAATACCTATTTTTGGCACTTTAAGAGTTTTAATTTAATATATTAACCAAGTTCTTAACCAAAAAATCATGCACAAACAGCCAAAAGCCACATGCAAAAGTATTTACATACTTCTGGTGCCACGGCTTTCATCAGATTTTCAAAGAGGACCACAAGTCTCAAAATTCATTAAGTCTATTCCCTTACCTTCAATTAAAACTTAATTCCAGAGAAGGAAACTTTTGAAATCTTTATTTTTTAATTTTTTTTTGTCTTTTTCCTTTTTATCAGTACCAGTGATCGAACCCACGACCGCCTGCTTGCAAGGCAGGTGCTTATGCCGCTGAGCTAAATCCCCAGCCCCTTGAAATCTTTTTAAACCCTCAATATTTAACAGCCATCTTTTCCAGGAAAAACATCTATATTTTTCATGTTTAATTCTACCCTTATTCAGTCAGCATGTTTAGGTTAATATTCAAATTATCATTCTATGCAGTACAGACCTCAATCTAAAATTAATCTTTTAAACAAGTAGAAACTACAATGTATTTCAGGTCCTAAAGATGATATGCATACGCTAGGCAAGTAAAGCAGTCATGTGTACTGAACAATGCTGCTGCTGCTCAAGCGTGGTTTGACGTATCTAAACTATTTATGATCACTGTATTACCAGGACCACCAAAGCAGCTTCAATTTCAGTCCCAAACTCCTACATGTAATGGAGGTATTTTCCTTATGCTTTACAGAAATTCATTTCAAAAAATAATAAATATTATACACACCATAACATTTACAAATTCCACTTCTAAGTCTATATTTCACAGCATACTGAGAATTTTGGACAATTGGAAAATTCGCTGGTCTATGATGGGTAAGAGTTTTTTCTTGAACTGTAGGATGTTTTAAAGAGTTTCTGAGCTGTAACCACAAGATGATACTGTCATCATCCACCTCCTCTAATTTTGACAATTTAGAATGTCTCCGAACATTGGCAGTACTGCCTGGCAGGCAAAATCACCCTTAAGAATTGCACAATAAAAGCTTCCAAGCATGAGAACAATAAGTATGCACAAAAGTGTTTATTAAAACAAGATACTGGAAACAATGTAATTATACTTCAAGAGGAGAAAGGACAAATTAACCTTCAAGTTTATCCAAAGAATAAATTATAAAGAAGTAACAGCAAATGAGCAAAACGTCTACATACAAACAAGAATGAACCTAAAAAAAAAAAAACAAAAACAAAAACAAAAAAAACCTAAAAACCAGGCTTAAAAAAGCTATTCACTTACGGAAATAGAAAGCTTGTTCTCAAATTAACATAACTGTAAAAGGACCCAAAGCAGCCAAAACAATGTTGAAGAAAAACCAAACGGAGGGTTTAGACATCCAAATTTAAAAACTTACTACAAAACTATAGTAATCAAAAGCGTATAGTTCTGGTGTTAGAATGGACAGATAACATCAATTAAATTGAGCCCAGAAATAAAACTTTAAAAGGCATGGCTAACTGGTTTACAACAGGACTGTCATGTCCATTCACTGAGACAAAGAAAAAGCTCTTCAAGAAACAATAGAAAATTGGGCTTTCATATTCAAAAGAGTGAGAATGATGACCAAGCACAGGAAAGACCTCTATAATGAGCATTACAGAAAACAGAAGAAGGAAAAGGAAAAAGACACTAGAAGATGAAAAGATCACCCCTGTCCATGGATTAGCAGAATACTGTTTAAATGGCCATAACACCAAAAGCAATATACAGATTCAATGCAATGCCCATAAAATACCAATGACATTCTTCATCCAAGTACAAAAAAAGTCCTAATGTACAGAAGACCCATAGGAGCCAAGCAATCCTAAATAGCTCTGCTGAAGACATCAAAATACCCGACTTCAAAATGTACTACAAAGTTATGGAGACAAAAATAACATGGTACTAAAATAAAAAATAAACATGTGGACCAACAGAATAAAACAGAGACAAAGAAATAAACCCACATGGGCTGGGGATTTAGTTCGGCAGAATAAGCACCTGCCTGACAAAATGTGAAGCCATGAGTTTGATACATGGTACAAAAAAAAGAAAGGAAAAGAAAAGAAATAAACCCCTACAATTACAGCCACCTAGTTCTTGATAGTGGGACCCAAAAACAATGTATCTTTAGCAAATTATGCTGGTTAAAAACTAATATCCACATGTAGAAGACAGGAAATAAATCCCTATCGCTCATGCTATACAAAAGTTTATTCAAAATGGATCAAAGATCTGTGTGAAAGAACTGAATTTCTGAAACTTCTAGAAGAACACATAGGGAAAAAGATAAAGTCCTTCAAAGTCAGGCAAATACTTCCTGAATAGGACTCCAATAGCACAGGAAATAATATCAAGAATCAACAAATAGAATTACATCAAATTAAAAAGTATCTGCACAACAAATAAAAGTATTAACAAAGTGAAGAGACAGCCCAGAGAATGGGAGAAAAATCTTCAGTAGCTCTGCTTCTATCAAAGGATTAATATAAAGAACATATAAACAATAAATAAAGAAAAGAAAAAGAAAACCATACAAAAATTTAAAAGTGAGCAAACGAATTGGAAGACATTTCTTGAATGGCCAAACAGTGTAAGCAGAAGTGTTTAACAACTTTGCCATCAGGGAAATGCAAAGGAAAACTACAATGAGATTCTATATCATCCAGTCAGAGCAATTATCATTAGGAATACAAAAACCAACAAATGTTGGTGAGGTACAAAAGCTGTAGGTGGGCAATTGGGGCTTCTATACTGTTGGAAGGAATGTAAATAAATATTGCTATTATGGAAATCAGTAAGGAAGGTCCTCCTAAAACTAATGCTACCATTTCATCCATCTAAATCACTCCTCAGTATATCCTTGAAAGAATGTCTAATATCTATAGACAGTTGTAAAGCCATATTTACTTCAGTGCAACTGACAATAGCTTAGCTACAGAATTTGGTCCATATACACAATGCAGTATTATTCAACCATAAAGAACAAAATTATACCAACTGCAGTAAAATGGATGGAACTGGAGATCATCATGCTACATGAAGCCATACTGAGAAAGTCAAATACCATGTTTTCTCTCTCATGAAGACTTCAGAAGAAAAATGTTTTAAAAGGAAAAGACATGAAAGTAAGGAGGCTATTGAAGAGGAAGAGGGAGGGAAATGAAACAGGGAGGTGATCAACGTATGTTAGATGCATAAATGATTACGCAAAACTTTGTCCAGTGTAGCTCCCTTATAGCTTTGCCTCTTAACAGCTAACTTTGCTGTTAATCAATCTTGTTTGATCTTCATTCCCTCGTGATGCCAATAACTATTTCACTATTTCTCCTACCTCTCTAAGTGTTCATTAGAGAGCACCCCAAAGTTCTTTAATAAAGAAATCAGTAAGGAAGGTCCTCCAAACTCAGCAATTTTTGTTTCTAACATGTTATACTTAAAGTATCAGTTTTATTTAAAATTTTTTATTAGTACATATTTGTGATATATAATGAACATATTCATCATGGGGAATTGGTATATATCATATCTTTCCTTTAAGTTTTTACCATACAATTTTTAAAACTCTAAATAGGATACAACATTATTCTTACGTAGATTTTATAGGAATTTCCTCAGCAAAAAAACAAGATTTCAGAATTGTCACTTTAATACAAAGCTGAGGAATTCATTTAATTCATGTTGCACATCATTAAATTAGCACTTGCATTCATCATACAAATCATTTGGTTGGTGCTATCTTCCCCGCAGGATATAATCATAGAGGCATAAAATTCCTTATACAACTGTTACACAAAAAATTAAGATTGAAAGGTTTCCAAAAATTAATCTGGACCATCATTTTTTAAGATGCCAATAAGGAACAGAATTACCAACAAGAGAGACTTCGAATGTAGGATGATTACAGAGACACAGAAACCAACCAAGTCATAGAAAATCTACCAATCTAGAAAGAATGGTACCATCAAGAAATCAAGAAATGCTGACAAGGCTGTTGGGGGTAAAGAACCCCTTCTTTTGTTGGTGAGATTGTGAACTGACACAACTACGGAACTCAGGATGGAGATTCCTCAAAAAGTAAAAGTACAAATTCCATTTGACCCAGCTATTCCCCCTCTAGGGATCTTCCCGAAAGAGTTAAAGACATCATTCCACATGATATATGCATGCCTATGTTTATAGCAGCACAGTGCATAACTGCTAAATCCTGGAAACAACTTGTATGGCCATCAGCAGATGAATGGATTAAAGATGTGGTATTTATGCACAATAGAGTACTAATTTGCCATAACACAGGATAAACTTGAGTTATTGGTAGGAAAATAGAGGTATCTTCAGATCATAATATTAAATATCTCATGATTTCTCTGATACGAAAAATTATATATACAGATGGATATATAATATGAAATACAAGACAGATAGTGGGAAAAAGACACAAAGTAAAAGTAATGGAACCCAGTGCACGCAGTGTATCTACAAGTGTACCTTGACTTAATATAATTGTTTTACATGTTTTATGGTGTTCTTTGTCTTGTTAGTCTGGTTTTCACTCTGTACATATAATTAACTTTATATGGTTTTTAAAAGATAAATAGATGAATCTGATGCTGGAAAAAAAGGGAAATATGGGTGGCAGGGTTGAAATGTTATGCACATGTAATGATCTCCTACAGTGAATGCAACCATTATGTACTGCTAACATGTACTAATAAAAGTAAAAAAAAACGGTGAAAGAAACAACAGCAAAAAGAAAATTCATGAGATTCAGAGTTAAGACTGGTAAATACGAGTAAAATGAATATCCTGGCAAA